CCAAAGGCAATAAAAGTACTTGTTGAAGAATGGTGCCGTTGTAACATCGAATGTCAATGCATCACTATATGTACCAAACTGATAGAAGCCGGAATTCGGACTGCAAAGGCCGGTGATATTGCTGGACCTGAACCAGGTATCCCTGCCTGGGTCATTGATCCTGTGGCAATCAAAGTATTTATATTGACAAGTTGATTCCTCAAGATCACAGGCACTCCTCCAGCATGCTTCTTGGCGCTCGATTGCGAGAAGGTACCAGCTAGCTCCTAAAACCTTTTTAAGAAATATTGAGATAAGCTAATTTTTTATTACTTAAGCTAACAGTTTAGAATTGGCGTTTTTATGTGTAGAATCATAGTTTATAGGTTTCAGAATCACTTACATGGCTAGCCAGCATGTAGAGAATCAGGTTATAAGCAGCTCCAGCCCATGCTGTTTCTGTAACAACACCAGTGGCCTTGACAATTTGTGATGAGAGTGGAAATATTAGAAAAAGTCTTGGAAGGTACTGAAAAATGATTATGAACCGGAGCACGTTTTTCGTGTTTCTCATCGTTGAACCTTTGAGATTTGGAATGATCATCCAAATCAAAACCTGGGACGCAAAGATATAGAAAATTGAAGCCTTAGTATTTAGCTAAAGGGAAAAAATATGGATGCCTTAGTTTTACACATACCTGAGGAAGGGGCAGGGCAGCTATTAAATCAATCCAGAAATTCTTCTGAAGGTACCTGGAAGCAATCTTCCTGGAATCAATGACAAGCTCTCCTCTCCCAAATACACGAGAAGGAGGCGCGACATAAGCTGTCCGAAACCGAATGAAAATCTGAATTATATAGAACGCATCAGCCATTGATCTAACTATTGTGAGGATAACTTCATGTGGGATTCCAATATCAATGCAGACTTCTTCCCAAACTGCTGGCAAATAAAAGAACAAAGGATCCACAAACAATGAGACTATGCATGATACTAGAAAAATCTTATTCCATCGATGAATAACAGGTCCACGAGGATCCAAAATCTTCTTCTTCACTCTTTCGAAATCCTCGGAGAAAACCCTGGACAGCACTTTAGCTTTTAAGGATTTTCCCGTCCTACCAGTAGGCAACTCCTCAGCCTTCTTGGTGCTAGGCTCTGGTATTTTTGTCCCATCAATGTTGTATTTCAGCTTTATCATATTCATACCCTCCCCATTGATGGTGTTGTGGAGCTTTGGCAATTCAAGATCATCTTGAAATCTGAAAACATGCAATAAGCAAGTAACATCAGTCGTTTATTCCATATAACACGGACGTAAAATGAGAGCCGATTGAAATCATTAAAGAATAAAGATGGAACAAACCTTACAGATCTTGAATTACCATACCCCATGTCTTTCCTCCCGATGTCGTTGCCTCCGTTTTAGTTATTAGATGTGATCTGTAGGAGGACGAGAGAGAAAGGGAGAAGGTTACAATGTTGCCGCCCAATTAACAAACAGTTCATGGATCTGATACCGTGAATCAACTGATGTTTAAGTAAGGTAAGTGGGAAGAACACAAAGGCACAAAGTGCAAAAAAGGCCCTGTGTATGGCTACTTGAACCAAGAATCATGTGACCACTGGCATAAAAGATTTAACTTGAAAATGAAGCAGCTCTAAAGACCCCCCCCCTTTCAGGGGGGAAAGAGCTGGTCAAAACACGGGACTCATTTCTTTATTCAAAGCTTCATAAAGGGTTTCCTCTCAGACCACCACAGAAAAAATTTCTGATTTCGTGGAATAAAAATCAAAAACCCATTTTTTAAATGATACCCTCAGGGGAAAAAATGCAGCAAATAAATGGCTTAAAAGTAATGCATTCACTGTTGACACCATCTTAGAAATTTTAGTCAGCTTGATTCTAAGAGAAATATTGAAGATTGAATATTGACCATGATTTCATTTTCTTAATTCATTGATCATAAAGGAATTCATAGCAAATTGGAAGAGAACAAGTCAAAAATAATAAAAAAAAACTATAAAGAAATACGATTCTTGTTTACCGATTCCAACAAACAGGGACTTGAGAAACTGCTACAGAAAGCTTACAAACAAGCATAAGGCCAAACCATGTAAAATCCTGAGGATTCACTTCCGTTCAGTTTCAATCTGATCTGATGATGATGTTTAAGAAAAGATTCACCCGATTTTTTTCCATCACGAAATCCGTTCACCGTAACTGAAATGGAAAGTTTAAACAACACTTTCCATTGTTAGAAGAACGAACCTTTCTCGATGTACACGCCTTAATTTGATGGGATTTTGTATATTATTAACAAGTTTGAAAACTTAGAAACCAAAGAATTCCGAGAAAGTGACAGAAAGAGTTCATCCCAAGTAATTAAAACCTGTATATTTAATATTTATTGTCATAAAGTTGGTGGGAAAATACAGTTAATGTTTTGCTGGAAATTTTTAATATAAAATTATTTATTGGAACTGGGAAGATAAAGACAGAGAGACAAAATCATATGAGTTTGTCTTTTAAAACAAAAGGATGAAAATCGGAAGGGAAACTGTTCCGTAGTGTACTTCTGTTTATGTACTTATCATTTTATTTTTAAATTATAAATTATTTATGACTTGTAAGATCCGAAGAGTTGACTACGTTAGAAACGAATGCCCAAGGAATCTTGGCACGTGTTTGTTCAGTAATGTACGGTTACTTTACAATTGCAACATGGTGGTAATAAATATATATTACTTTTAGATACACGTAAATTACGAGTTTGTACACAAACAACTACAACAAATTAAATTTTCATTCTCAAATGATTAAGAGTTTTCAGAATAAATATTATTTTGTAATCACTTTAGTTTAATAAAAAAATCTATTATTTATCTCAATAATTTTGAGATCACGTGGTCAAAAGCTTTTAATTCACAACTTTTTTTTTAAGTTGTGAGTCTAATCTCTAAGAGTAAAATTTTCCTTCTCCCTCTCCTAAGTAAAAATCATTCAAAATTTTATATATTTATCTAAATATTAAAATCTAAAATTTTGAGTCTAAATTTTAAATTTTAGATATGATACGTCTTTATATCAAATAGTTTTTTTTAAAAAAAAATAACACTTTGATTCGCAAGGTTCATAAATTAAAATTTATACAATCTTACTTATTTGAACCCTAGAACTTAAAATCTAAAAAGTTTAAACTCTAGATCTTAAATGCTAAATATAAACTTTAAATCTCAATCCTTAAAATTATGAACCTTAAACCTTATTAGTGGTACGAATTTCTTTTCCTTTTCCATTCAAATTAAATTACATTTATAGGTTTTTTTAATTAATTACTAGTATCTGATCTATTGATCGACTAATATAAATTAGGTTTTCAGAAGTCCATTACCAGAGCGACCCTCCCAATTCAATTTGCTTCATACACAAACGCCAGAGTTCAAACCCCTGACCTTACTTAAAAAATCTAATGCATTAAATTTGAAAATTTTAATTACAGTCATATCATTTTATTTATCAATTAAAAATAAAATAAATATTATATTTTTAATTACAATCATATCATTTTATTTATCAATTATAACAATCAATTCACTTAATTTATCGATTGTTATAAACTTAAAATCAAATCACTTATTTTTTACTTAAATTGTTAACGTTTATTATACACTCAATGATAAAACAGTGTATTTATAATAATTAATTAATTAAACAGCTTGTTTGTAACTTTTTAAATTCAATGATCCATTTGTTATCTTTGCAATATAACAATGATTAAACTGTATATTTATAATAATTAATTAATTCAATTATTTTATGAGAAGATTTTATCGCTTTAGTTGTCCTACTTAATTCAATATATATAAATTTTTATTTAGACCATTAAATTAATAAATACAAATTATTTGAATTTAGATAATATATTGTACAAATTAAACCAGCCACACGAGTGATAATAATTCAACTTTATTTTATATTATACATGTAAGTGTAATTGATACTTAATTAACAGAATAAGGTGAACTCCTCGTAATAGTCTAGTGGGCCAGAAGTTCTTTTTCTCCTCCCATGTCCCGTGTCCCACCATGTAATAACAGAATGAGGCCAGCTCACCGTTGGATGATGGTACACCAGCAGGGTATGGCCCATTCATATCTCGGAAGAGACCAAATCATGGTCCCACAAAGATATTAATATTAAATTTGAGTCACTGAAATTTAAAAAGTTTAATTAAGCTTCATCTTGTAGCTTCTTCAATAGTGAATATTGAAAGTAACTGCATAATCCATTCATGTGAAATCCGGGAAAACTTCAGCTCATATTGGGTGGGACTTGGAATAAAGATAAATATCTGAAATTAGGGAAAGTAAACTCAGCTACAAAATTATAAGTGAAATGAAAAAGGTCAACATGAAAAAAAAAGACTGGTGAAAACAAAATATAAAGTATACATCATATTTCTACTCTTGTGAAGCAGATGCGGCTTCTTTCAAGCATGTACTCATCACTTTACCAAGCTTATTGCAAGCATCAAGGCAAAGCTGCATGGCCTGTGCATAACAAATATTCTGAGTGCCATTAGGTACATAAGGTACAATAAAGGGCCTGGTTACATCTATTATAGCATTTTGATTAGCAGGAATCAGTAGCCCAAATTTAAAGCAAATCTTCATGAAAAGTAGACCAAAACACATATCTCATTAATATCTGGGGTTGACCATTCTCCTGTAAATGTTAGTTGAGTGACCTACTGACCTCCTAACGAGAAGGCATACATGTAAGCACTAAGCTTCCATCTTAGTAGCTTTCCTCTTCAAGAATAGGATCAATTACAAGGTTTTTCCCCAAGACAGGCCTAAAAGCCGAAATTATGCACTAAACACGTGAGAAAAGATAAAAGTTATTCAAAGTGGAACTCAAACAGTACTCACTGTTCAAGGTTAGAATAGAATGGAGAAAACCATTATATCATGGATCTAGAGATTGGGATTTGAATAATGGTAAAATGCTATGCAGAAAAGAACAAGCTTCTAAATATCAATGTGCCTTTTTGTTTTCCGGGTTGTAGCAATTTATCATCAATCCCACTTTAATTGTTCTGAACACCAATTAAATCAAGTACATTGCGCGTAACTGATATACTTACACTAGCTGTTAGTTGTAATATTTTACTGGTAGAGATAGTAATGGCTATGTTCTTTGGACTTGGGGAGTATCAGGTACGAGTGTGACTGTCTGACCCTGACATGCTTCTCTTTTCTTCTCTACCGCCCCCTAAATGTTCCATATTTAAAGGACTGATTCCCATGTTTGAGTAAGTGTCGGACATTCACTTCAAGGAAAATGAAGAACTGAAGTAACATAGGTAAGGGCAGTGCTCAAATTCATGCTTGCATAATGATCAAGGCAAAAAGAAAGACACTCACCACAGAAACTGCAGCAACAAGATCATACATCATAATCACTGCATCTGCAAGGGCAAGACTAGCACATGATATCACCACAGGAAGATCACCTGCAACCAATGTTATGAAGCTTATCAACAAATGGAAATATATGAGTTTAGGGCATATCCATAGCCAATAAGAATTTTCATTGATATAGAATTTTTTTGACACTCTTACAATCATCTACAGCATTGTCAAATACTTGTTTACTAAAACAAACATTATGTGAAACACTATTTGTAAGAAAATGAGAACCAACTTTATGAGAGATGCCATAAGAAGGATCAAAAGAAAAGACAGGCTATGGAATAAACAACAGGAGGCCAATTTCAGGCCTAATTACCAAGGATTTATGAGAAGACTTACTGCCCCCAGACTCCAACACCAATGCAAAAACATCCACAGTGGTTTCGGGGAATGTTTCCAACATTATTGCACCTTCCAAAGCTTTATGAAGCATCGATGAAAACTCTTTGTGATCCGATCCCTAAGGAAAGGGAGATCAAGGAATAGAATTAACTAAATTAAAGAAAATAATTAAAAGACAGACAAAGAGACTTAATCAAATATAATACATATATGCTGCACCAGAAAAGATTCACACTTTCAATCATCTCACATACCTGCCCTCAAACTAGAGTGGCAAATGTTGTATAGCTGACATTACAATTTAACCTCCCACTATCGCTATACATCATTGCCTTCTTACTTTATCTTGGCCCAAAACTAAATAGTTCAATACAAATAACACATGAACATGTAGAGTAATCACAGAAAACATCATTATTTAAAAGAAAATTCTGCCAAAGAAAGCAAAGGGTTATAAAATCCCAAAAAATAGTACGAAGAAGAATAAGCACACCGATGATATACTCACACAGATATGATGACCTTGGTATTCCCAAGCTCTGCATAAGCAGATCCAGAAGCAGAGTTTACTGCACCTGTTCTGAAAACTACAGATCACCAACATTTGGGGATTCATTTCAAATCAGCACAGGAGAACCCAAGAAAAATCCATTTACAAGAGATTTTAAGAATGATCCATAGTTTTTTTTATAAGAATCCCATCTTTCTAAGTTTTAGATGCCTAAAAACTAACTGAAAATCCATTATCGTGGTAATAACAGGTAAGATGATCCCACAACATGACAACTATACCACTATGGATTTCTTATGCTCCCTTTTAAGCATGAACATGCAAATCAATATAAAAATAAGGTGTCAGAAGAACCAAAGATTTATAACACACTGGTACATGCAGTAACAAATTGGAAGCAGCAAAATCACTTAACTACTCGTCAAGATGACCTTGTTCTAAATTTTTTTAGAGAAAAAGTAACTTCCTTTCGTTCATTGCTTGGTAGAGTTATAAAATCAGAAGAAAGAAAATGGAACTTTCGAAAAATGCATAGGAGTATTGAACTAACCCCTCCCTCCCTCCCTCTCAACTTTTCCACTCAACCAAGCGCTTAAACATTCAGATTTTATATGAAAATAAGCAAGGGGTCATATAAACCAAAGATATAACATTCTGGCACATGTAAAAACAAATCACGAAGGCACAAAATCACTTAACTACTCATTAAAATGGCCCTATTCTAGAGAGCAATGGAGAACACCAGACTATTTCTATAACCAGGTAATGAATAACACTGACATACAGCGCAAAATAAAAAGAAACTTTTCTTTTTCTTAAGGATGGTTACCAAAGAATCAATAGACATCTCACTAACATCTAAAAGACATCAAAGTTTTCAAATTTATTTGCAATATAAAAAGTAAAATTATAACCAAATTAGCAATGAACACAATAATGTTTAAAGAAAAAGAAAATAAAGAAGAAGCTTTACATGATGGTCTGCACTGGTGGAAGCCGCGGCCATCAGGTCGGACCCAATCAAGATCACTGTCTTTGAAAATAGGTGGCCGAGATTTTTGGCCAATATTTGGCGAATACGTTGTCGGAGCTGAACCGGGCTTTGCGGCCATCTTTTTCTTCTTGTTTTTCTCCTCTATTTACTATTTTCGTTTCAGTCGCTGCTCTTCTTCTAACTTTCAAGTTGTTCCAGGTTTTATTGTTGCGTCTCTGCCAGGTCAAGACTAGGAGTATAAACGACCTGAATCGAGCTCGAGTATTGACGAGTTCAACTCAACTCGAGAACTACGTAAGTTCAACTCAACTCGAGAACTCATAACTTTAAAATTTTCAAGCTTAACTCGAACATGAAAGATAATATTAAAACTCGAACTCGAAAAGACTCAAAAATAAAATAAAAAAATACAAAAGCTCGATTCAAACTCCTTTTTGAGCTCGATTCAAGCTCGGTCCTCCCCTTTCTCACCCTCAAAAAATAAATTTAATATCGTATGAGCCATTAAGTCTACGTATCATATATTAAGCTAATAAACACATACTACACTTCATCTTAGCCAAAAGGCGTAGAAAGATATACTAACACAGGCGTTAGTCTACTCCTTTTATAAGTTCTCTTACTCTCTTTATCGTCCGGTGTGGGATATAAATTCAAAAGGCTTTGGACTCGCGCAATAGCGCCACCTTGTCTTCCCAACCATGGAGCATCTTTTACTTTTCCTTTCTTCCTATCCTTTATGCTCTGTAAATATTTAGATTTATAAACTTTGAGTTCATTCAAGATCAATCAATAAATTAATAAATCGTATAAGGATGGTGGAGATTGAGACTTTTATATAAAAAGTTAGTATGGGTTTTCGATGAAAATCAAAGCAAAGAGCAATCAACTTTGTTTCTGATTTTAAACAAGTAATCTCTTGAAAATGCTATAGCATGACATGACTGGTGGGTTAGGAGCTCAAGTTAGTGAGTGCACTGCAGGAAAAAGAGGAAGCCCTGCCAACTAATCACCTTTAGTTTTTTTTCATGAACCGTTAGTGCATTGGAATTTGACTGTATAGTAATGATATCTTCTTCTTTCTTTGCCATTTCCTTTTTGTTCAAAGGTCTCTTGCGCACCTGCATTGGCAGTTATAATTTAGCTATTTAAAAAAGACAGAACAAAATCAAGGAAGAAAATACATTTCCTTTTCCCATTCTTTCTTGGCATTAGTTTCAGGTTAAGATTTTCATTATCCACATCATATCTTGTAGGGGTCGGTAGAATGGTTCGATATTCCTCTGATCATGAAGTTAATGTTACATTACATCAATGGAGATGTTACAAGAGCTTTTGCAGTGCAGTCTTTGTTCTGAAGATCAAGTGGATCTAAACAGATCTATTGGTGAGCAGTAAATCAAGTATGCAATGTTTTCTCAAGATGGAGGAAATGCACCAAGCCCTTATGGTTTTCCTAATCCTAGTTGCATGAAACATTTTCGTTCAATTTATTGTTGTTCAGTCATCAACAAGTGCATCTTGTTGCTAGAATGACAAAGTTCTTGCCTAAGCTTATTGCAAGCAACTGGTCTGTATTCATTCAAAGGCATAATATTTCTGATAACATCCTCTGGTTAGTAATAATTTTCTGCATATTATATAGACATAATATTTTGATAATTAAATTTATTATTATAATCATTTGTATTTTATTATATAATATTCTCCTTAAATAACACTATTAATTATTCTAAAGTCGAATTGATTATTATTATGGGCACAATAATATATTGGACTTAATATTAAGTTTGATTGATATTCAAAAGATAAATATGTGTATAAGATACAAATCAAATTCATATATAATGAGAATCATATATTGAGATATGATCAATTCAAATAAAATGTTTCCTTCTTATTGTAAGAGAGATATCTCTAGGTCTCTTGACAATTGAGACTAAAAAATGCATGACCTTTTCAAATGAATAAATGAATTGTTTAATCAAATTAATTGTTTTCGAGAAATTAAAGATGTAACAATCAAATAAAATTGATGTTTTGATCACCGTTTGTTTTGATAATGAACCTATTTATTGATTTGACCAAGTGTGATTTATTAGTTTATTTACATATAAACCCTTGTTAATTTCATTAATTTCATTTTACATAATTTGTATGTTACCTTCATGTGCATAACTTAACCCCTATCATATAATCGAATTAAGGGTTTAGGGCTTAGGACTTAGGGCTTAGGGCTCAAGGCTTTGGATTTATGATTTGGGATTTAGGGTTTGTAGTGTATAGTTTATAGCTTAGGGTGTAATCTAAAATGTGATTAATTAAATGGGCTTTTATTTTTCTTTTAGTACCCTATCACATAATTAGATTAAGGGTTTAGTATTTAGGACTTAGGACTTAGGACTTAGGGTTTATGATTTAAAGTTTAGGGTGCAATATAATATGTGCTTAATTAATTGGGCTTTTATTTTTCTTTTAGTAATATACAATGTAACAATTGGACTTGGGTTGCTGAATTAAAATTAAAATTTGAGGGTAGTTGTATTATAGAATTTTTAATATATTTTTAAAATTTTATAATTATCAATAAGTATTTTTAATAAATTTTTTATAATGTAATTTTAAAAAATCTAAAATTATAATATAAAATTTTTTCGAGTTGCTCACGATCTGTCTCGTCTCATTTACAGCCCTAGTCAAGACGATGCGTT